ATGGCGAGAATACATCTTTGCAAACAATTTTAATAAATTACATTAACCCCGAACCTGTAGATGAATGTTATGATCCCTGTTTATAAATTCCAGTTGCATTAGGTCTTTTTTTTTTTATAGTTTTTTACAAGCTTTCATCTGTTCCTACAGACATCTTCAGGTATGGAAATAGATTTGTTTTTGTTTTTTACTTCTCGGTAATAACAGGACAACGAAAATATAGATGTAATCAGAAAAAATGTTTTTACAAATGTGTTATTGTTAATTGTAAGAAATTTTTGGGAGCGTATAGGCGCAACGCTGAGGTTGAATTTTTAAATTTTAAGATTGCGCGTTTTTGTCCTAATATGGTAATAGGAGAATTCTTTTGTACTGGTAGGTTTTGCAGTCAATGTGGCATGAACTAAATTGTTCAATTAATACATGAATGTCACTGTTATTATCCGAAAGTTGGACATCAGTTATTTTAATATCAAGTATGTGGTGCAGTTAAATTTACATTACATTATTATACAGGTTCGAGGTTAGTGTACTTTATTAAAATTGTTTGAAGAAGATGTATTCTCGCCATTTAAATCATTAACTTCTATATCTGTTTTTGTATGAATGATTCATGTAATATATATATATATATATATATATATATATATATATATATATATTAAGTAAGAATTAAGTGTTTAAGCCTTTTTTATTATATATGTTTTATTTTCCATAATTTTGTAAAACGCGTTTCGGGTCTCGCGATCTTCTTCAGGCAAAGAGTGGATATTTCCACATATTATTAAAATGAATTCGTTTTCCTGGTTTTTTAATGTTAAACATTTTCGATGTTAAACATTCTCTTTTTTGTGTGGTAGTGGCACAAATGTCTTTCTTGAACTGGCAGTGAGAAAGTTCACCTGCTTGAAGGGTCATAAAACAATTAAGATTGGTCCGAGAAAGTCTGAGAAAAGATATCTGTATTCTTATCTTTTAATGACCCCTCTGGGTTCTTAGATCTATTTCCATTTTTGTATTATGTTTTTGTTAGTATGCGTATGTATATGTATATTCCCCCTCCATGCATACATACATACTGTCTTATTATAAAGAATTAATATACACATATATACATACGTACACAAAAACACACACACACATATATATGTATATATACACATTTTTCATTAAATAATATAGACAAGTGTTGTCTATTTATTTTATGTAAATTCTTTTCATAACACTTGTCTATATTATTTAATAGACAACACTTGTCTATATTATTTAATGAAACATGTATGAATGAAAAAATGATGCCTAAGTACACACAAAGTATATATATATATATATATATATATATATATATATATATACACACTTCCTATGTCGTGTAGGGTTCGTGTGTGTGTTTGTGAGTAGTTTATTTGTTTTGCTAATATGTGTATATATATAAGTGCTCCACAGATACCCGCGTGTGAGTGTGTGCGCATGCATGTGAGTTGTTCGACCATTGTATTTGCCCAATATGCGTGCACGTTGTGTCTTTTTGCGTGTGGGATTAGGATCTATTTATTGCTGGTTTAAATTTGTTTATGAAGTTTTTTCTTGTATTTGTAGGTAAGAATAATTGTCTGTTTTTTTTTTTTTTATTATTTTAGCATAATTTTAAATCCACCCTGGTTACATTTATAGATGTGTTTTGGAAAGCAAAAACCAAAAAGTAAGAAAAAAATTTTTTTTTTCCTCACCTTTAAATTTTTTTCTCTTACTTGTCGTCTTTGCCTTCCTGTTTCTTTAAAGTTTGAAAATCTGTAAGCTTCTTTTTTATCTTATTTTATCTTTTAATTTTAAATTATTATTACTACTTTTAATAACTAATACACTATACGTTTTTTAAACAAATAAATATATTAGAATTACTTTCTTATTTAAATATTATTCAAAGATCAAGTATAAATATGTATGTTTCATTTTTAATCCTTTTTCTTTCTTTTTTTCACATTTAATGATTATTTAAGGAAAATCTTTAACAGTGTCTGCAAAAACAGCTATTTCATTTCTTTGATTAATTAAATTTTTATTTTTCATAAACTAAATAATGTATAATTTCTCATGTATTGACAAAGGATATGGATCATTTAATGACCTACAAACTCTAGCTTTTTTTATTAATTTCTATTTTGCAGTAGGTGTTTTAGTCGTTTCCTTTAAGTGCCAGAAATATTTAGATAGGGACGTCTGATTTCTATATTTACTTATTTTAAAAGAACTTTTATCTTAGTTCCAACGTCTTTTGAATTCATGTCTTGTTCATCCAATGTAGACTTCGTTTGGATCCTCAATAGATGAGATATTTCACTGGTACACTAATGATTCAGTGCAACATTTATTATTAAGAGGACAATTTTGAGGATTTCTAGTTACATAATTTTTCTTTATCTTCATTTCTTTTTATTATACTATCTAATTTTTTGATTTTGGTCTAAGTGTTTACTCAAGATATTAGCATTATGTTTCTTAATAATCATTTCTAATTTTTCAGTACAACTGTAACTTAATTTTTGTGTATTTTTTATTAAAAATTGTACTGACTTCAATGTCTCTAAGAAAATGTTTAACGATTAATGCAAGGAATTTTTGTCCTAATTCATTTTTAGTATTTGGTTGAATGGGGGTGTATACCAAATGATTTTTCTACTTCTGTCTTTCCTATGGTTTCCACTTTCATTTTTTATGTAATTGAGTTTTGGACATTTGTAATCACTATTCTTTAGAGCTTTATTATAGAAATTACTAGGTTCATATAAAATTTTCTCATTTGCTGAATTTGTACTTATTCTCTTTTCGATAGATAAAGGTATATGCTTAATTATGGATGGAGGATGATTAGATTGAAGGTGTATATACAAATGATAAGTATTGTGTTTTCTTAATAATGTATGTATATATTATTCATTAAAAGTAATATTATATCATGGAAGTTCACTTTTATTAATTTTGTACTTACAGCAATTTTCAAGTTCAGGCATTTACATTTCCTGTATAATGTTTTCGAATTTTATCAATTTTAAAGTTTATAGAATTCTTTATAACCATAAGGCCACCATCTCTGTACAATCCAATGTTAGTTATACTAATTTCGTGATATACTGTGAGATTGTATAATATAAAAAGACCTATAATGTTTATGTTCTATAGAACTGTATTGGTCACTGTTTTTTAAGAAATAAAAATAATTAATAAGAACGCCAGATTATAAATCTTACTATTTTCTCATTATTTTAATTTGTATCTATAAAAAGAATGTATAAACATAAAAATGTCTTAAAATAATTGTCGGACTTTGTCCATTTCATAATGTATGACGTCATTTGTTTACATTTGGATGCGCCATGGGCAGATATGAATGTACGTGAGACATTCATAGAAGATTGAAGTTCAAATTCGACCTTGCTAACCGAACGCTCCTCTGTAGCCAAATCGGTTAAAGGCACATCAAGCTAAATGTCGGTTCCGTATAGGATACAGGTTCGAATCCTGTCGGAAGACGAATATTTTCTATGAAAATTTCTCGGACATCCAGGCCAGTAAATGTTGTTTAATACTGTCTATTATAAACAGAGCATTTACTTAAATATTAAATATTTGTATCTATAAAAAGAATGTATAAACATAAAATGTCTTAATATATATATATATATATATATATATATATATATATATATATATATGGAGGCACGGTAGAGTAATGGATAGTGGCTCGAATTAAGGAATCGAGTTCGAATTCCAGTTGGATCTATTACATTCACTTACGTGCTAATACCTTTTGGAAAAGTATGAATCCTTTCTTCTCTCCCAGCTATGGGTAAAATAATAGGGTAGACTGGGTTTTATAGTCTTGGGCAGCAACCTGTTTAGGAGAAACTAACTCTTAATTAAAAATTTTATGGAGTCCTGGTATAGCACATACAATACAACTAAAGAAAGGATTATTCGCATTGGTTCAATGATCTTGACTACGGTCGAATGATGATGATGATGATGATGATGATAGCCAATTGTAATACGTTGTGGAATCGGAGAGCCGAGTTCGAATTCTAGTCGGATCCATTACATTCACTTATGTGTTAATAACCTTGGGAAAGGTATGAACTCGCTTCTTCTCCCCTAGCTATGGGTAAAATGACAGAGCAGACTGGGTACTATAGCCTTGGGTGGCAACCGGTCTAGGAGAAAGTAACTCTTAATTCAAAACTTTATATAACTCCAAATTTTGACGTAGCACATAATATACCGCTAAAAAAAGGGCCGTTAACATTGGCTCGATGATCCCCACTACGGTCGATTAATGATGGAGGATGATTAGAATTAAGGCCTATATACAAATGATAAGTATTGTGTTTTTTTTTTGTTTTTTTTTTTTAATAAGGTATGTATATATTATTCATTAAAACTAATATTATATCAAGGATGTTCACTTTTATTAATTGTGTACTTACAGCAATTTTCAAAACTCTACTAAGAATTTCAGTTTGTGTTTTTCATATTTTCAAATATAATCTTGTTCTTTGGCAACACACATAATTCTCGTCTGGTCGGGAGGGGATCGTTCACACCTCTGCGCCACAGCACGTTGTTGGCAAAACAAGGAGCTATACATATATTGATAAACCTTCGTTCAAAGGACTTTATTTAGAAACGAGGGCGGCTTTTGTAATGGACATGATTCAAAGAGAAGGTTTGTATTTTTAGCTCCATCCAAAACTCAACTGGCGTTGTACGCATTTGTATCGGAGTGTGGATGACGGCTCATATTACCAAAGGGATTTCTTTTTCTTTTTTTTTTTTAAAAAAGAGATTTAAATCCAGTATAGAAACGTTAAATTAGATTAGGCGTTTCTTACTTCTAATATCTTATCAGTTATATTTATGAGGCAAAAATACGTTTTTTAATGTAGAAATATGTAATGATTACATGTCATTGGATGAGGATATTAGGAACGCCATATTCAGGAAAAATGATAATCTATCTATCTATCTATCCATCTATCTATCTATCTCGCTCTGTTCATATCTATCTATCTATCTATCTATCTATCTATCTATCTATCTATCTTAGCGTACTCCGATCTATCTATCTATCTATCTATCTATCTATCTTAGTGCTACCATCTATCTATCTATCTATCTATCTATCTATCTATCTATCTATCTATCTACACACATACACATATATACACACATACACACACATGTACATAAATACATACATGCATATATATTTGTGTGTATGTATACAAGACACACAGATATACACATATATACACACATATATACATAAATGCATACATGCATATATATATATGTGTGTATGTATACAAGACCCACAAACACACAGAGACACACACACACACACACACACACACACACACACATATATATATATATATATATATATATGCAGTTGAATGCCCACCTAGAAGGATGTTTCGGATAACTGACTGACGGAAAAAAAATGCAGGCTTGATAAAGGCTGGTTGAGAAACGAGAAAATGATTACACGTAGAGCGAAAGGAAGTTAGATCCATTATGGTTTGAAAAAAAAAAAAAAAGGTCTGGCTAAAGGCTGTAAGAAAAAAAAATACGAAAAACGAAAATCTCGTTTTATATCCAGGCTTGTTTGTTAAAGAATATTTCTATGGATAAAAGAAAAAAAAAATCGATGGATTTAATATCGAGTTTATCAAAAGAAGGATTCAATAAATGCGTTTTTTTTTTTCTATCGTTGTTATTGAAAACGAGATTTTCCTAAAAAGATTAAGATAAAGAAAAGATTTGTAAATTTTACGTTGCCGAATATAATAAGAGGTTATCAAAAAAGCGAATCTGCCAAAGGACGACCGAAACGAAGAGGATGTGAATTTACCGGTTGATGAAGAAGGAGAAATTGATGAGTGTTTAAGCGGAAAGGCGGAATTTGAAGAATGAATTTTTAAAAGTGGTTGCAGGAAATTAAAAAAAAAAAAAATAGAAAAATTAAAAGAAAAAAAACAAAGAAGTGATTTATGCCTTAACTTGCAGGTACATCTTTAAAAAAATATATATACCTTTCAGTGTTTGCAAGATCCTTCCAGGAGGCGATTATCTTGGTCTACAAATGTTTCGATGGAAACCCACTTATTTTTCTTAGCTGATTTTCGGACGCTGCGTTCGAAAACCAAGTCCATTTCTTTTACTGTTATCTCCACATTTTTTTTTTTTTTAAATAATGATTAATCCTAAAAGCTTACCCCACCCGCATCCAAAAAAAAATAAAAATAAAAAAAATGAAAGAAAATGAAGATGTTTGAATTCCTGATCGCTCAAACATCTGATTTTTATATTATGAAGATTATGCTTATTACAGTGGTCGGATGTGCGGATGGTGTGAACGGAAATTGAAATGTCAGCAAAATTTATGTGCCTGTGTTTTCAAGTACACGCCATTGTTCTCAGGGACGTGCCAAAGTGAATTCGAGGAATTTGTCTGTGACTGTGGACCGTAAATAACTTGGTGCTTGGTCTTTTAATCACAACTAAAAAAAAAAAAAACTTTCTCTTCTTTCGCACCCAAAATCTATGTGGCACTAGAATTCTTCTTTATATTCCATGTCTCCTTGTAAATGCTGGTTGTGTTGAAAAAATTAATGTGGTTGCGTGTTGAAGAGCATTTAACATTTATACATTTTTGAATCAAGGAAAAACAATGGAAAACCGATTTTTGTTTCAACGATAAAATATATATTAAAGTCAACAAATACAAAACAATTTTTGTCATGTGTGAATAATAAGGAGAAAAAAGTAGTTTCCCTTTATCTGTTAGCTTGAATAAGAATAAATGTAATTAAGGAAGTTTTCCGAAGAAAATGTTCAAAGTTCTGTATTGAAATAGAATGTTGTATTCAGAAGAACAGACAGTAAATTCAGTTGTGTGTTTTGTATAACTAACAGAGCTGTTGCAACTTGGCTTGTTCACAGAGAACTGATGGTGAATGATATTCAAGTTCTGTGTCTGTGTGTGCGCAGTGAGTAGAATGAATAGTCTGTGTAGACGCGTGTGAGTTGCTGAGTTCTACTATCTAATTTTGGAACGAAACCTGGCTTTTATTATTACCGGTAGGCTCCGAGAACGAAGGCGGGAGAAATTTTGAAAGAACACAAAAACTATCTGATTGGATGAAAAATTAACCAATCGGAGATTTTATAACAAAAGCATGTTTGTGAATTAACGGTAGGAAAAATTCAGTGTAGTGACTGCGATCAGTAAATTGTCCTGTGATAATTAGTATTTATTATTTAACCAATCACAGTTGAGAAAAATATAGGCGTGACAAACATAGTAGTAGTCACTACATCCGCATACCGTAGGTGATCATGGCTCTCCACAACTTCATCTTCTTTGTAGCTCCTAATAACTTTTCTCTTTCTGTCATCGCTCCTAAACCCTCTTCCTCCAGCCATTTACACAAGCTCACTAAGTATGTTATGCGTTATTTTCCTCTCCCCCTCTTGCCTTCAATCTGTCTTGTGAGTGTCAGATTTTCCAAGCCCTCTTTCCTCATTATGTAGCCTAGAAATTTCATCTGTTCCTGATGTTAATTATAAGTTTTTGTTTCCATTTTCTCTAAAACTTCATTGTTGCTCGCATGATCGGTCCATGGTATTCTCAGCATCCTTCTGTAGAACAACATTTCTGTTGCTTCGAGTCTCTCCTTCATCTGTGAGGAAACTGTACAACATTCACTGCCATAGAAGGAGGACATATAGCGCGTAACGGTTCAGGCACTTCGAGGTGGTGTAATGGTTAGCAAGTTTGTCTCGCTAGAATAATTACGACTGCAGTAGTGAGTTCGATCCTCACTGGGTGCCCCTTAGTTTCTAGCACAGTTTTTCTATTTCTTGATACTCTGCTTAGCTTCTGGAGAGCATCTTTGGCTATCACAGTTCGCCTTCGGATTTCGGTGCCACATATTCTGCCCCCCCCCTGTTAAAACACTTTCTAGGTATTTAAATTTTGGTATCTGCGTTTTGCACCCTTACCGCTGGACAAGGCAGTGGGACTTTCGATTGTCGAAGACAACAGACGTCACAATTTAACTACGATAAAACCAAGAAAAAAGAGTCACTAAATCTAGTTACTGGTCACGCTATTTCATCCGTAAGATAATTCAGTTCAACCCCCCGACCCCCACCAAAAAAAAACAAAAAAAAAAAAAAGAAAATGCTTAATACAGACAAATAATCATAATACTAAAAACATTTATCTCCTGTGTCACATATCACAATTTAACACTAACGAATCAAAACAAGTCTGTAAATTCATTACTGTTCCACTAAGCTTAGGCTGGAAAATATAGCTTAAAAGCCCCCCTGTCAGCCGGCAATCAAACTATCTCCCGCAGAGGGCCCTTGATTAGGCCTTCCACTTGTTCAGGAGTTTGAGAGTTCCTAAGTTTTTTGCATATTCTCAGCATTGGAAGCTCTCATGTCTGTCTTCTAATCTTGGTTTTCATTTACACTGGACTTTCTTCTCGCTGCAGCCTTGGCTTTTTTGATTGCAATTTGATCCTCTGTTGGCAGAGATTTCGTTTTTGCAAGGCATACTGCTGCCCTATGCGATAGGAAACAATAAACTACAGAAGAACTCAAAATTGATCGCTGCATTTAAATATTGCATTAATATGTAAGCCTACCGTAAATCTGTTGTAACGCAAGAAGAAAAGGCGTTAAACTTTTACTGATCCTAGTGATACTATTTAAAAGGAAGGGGAATATATCGACGATCAGACTGGAAATGCTAAGAGAGTTTTTCATCTGGGTACGTTTTGTGTTCTTCTGCTATTAAATCTGCTGCAATTAAAAAAAAGAGACATACTACCGGGCGGTATTTAAGCTAGCTCCTGTCGAAGGATCTTGAATTGGCCTTCGGAGATTGCGAGTCCCAAAGTCTTTGCCCATTCTCGGCATTGGAAGCTATCCTCTGGCTGCTATTTGATCTGCGTTTTCATTTGAACGGGACTTTCTTTTCCTCGCCACAGCCTTGGCTCGTTTGATTGCAATCTGGTCATCTGTTGGCGGAGATTTCTTTTTTGCAAGGCATACTGCTACCGTATGCGATAGGCAACAATAAACTACAGAAGAACTCAAAATTGATCGCTGCATTTAAGTATTGCATTAATACTGAAGCTTACCTTTTAAAAATCCAACGATAATTCTTCTGTCGGCAATTGATTTAAAGACAGTTTGATGTACGAAGGTCCTTACAAACAATTATTTTTATTTCGTGGGCGACTTTTTTCTTTTCTTTTTGATTTTGCCATTAATTTCATTTATTCCCAAATATATTTCCAAGTTATAAAAATTGTTATCGTGCAAAAATATTTGTCGCAAAAAATCACTTAAAAATCGCCGAAAACAATTGCAGTTATTAAAACTTGGGAATCCAAAATTTCAGGATTGCGGGTCTGAATCCAGCTCGGAATGTTTTTATTTGCTAACGGAATCGGCCTGATTCCAAATTGTTATGTCATGTTGGGCTACGGCTTATAGGAGTAAAGTTGAAATCATGGACAATTTTATTTTGAAACACTGTAATTTGAGAACAGTAATTTTTTTTTCATTTGAACATATGCTATTGAAAGTTAGAGAGTTGTGTCCCTTTAATTGTTTTAATCAGTAGAAGCCAAGATGGCGGAATCTGAAAGCAACACTTTAATGAAAACTTGGGAATCCAAAATTTTAGGATTGCGGGTCCGGATCTGGCCCAGAATAATTTTAATTTGCTCACGGAGTCGGCCTGATTCCAAAATGGTATGATATGTTGGGCTACGGCCATTAGGAGTAAAATTGACACATTCGTATTTATTTATATTGATGAGACTGACCGCTGAAATGTCGAATCAGCAAAAAGACAAGACAACACGTGGTAAACTTAATAATTGATTTATTTAAACTCCCCTTTGGGTCCTTACAATCATCATCATTATTATTATCACCATCATCATCATCATCATTAGTGATGTTGTTATAAGGCCCCCCTCCTTACTAAGGTCATTTATTTTCTTTATCAATTTTATTTCTAACTGTTTTTGCTGATACTTTCTCTCGTATTATTAGTTGATCCTTGTAATGATCACTAATTGGTTCCTTTCTCAAAAGTCCATTTTCTATTATATAAGACTGACCGCTGAAAATTCGAGGCAACACAAAAAACGA